AATAGCACCAAAAATATGGGGTACCGGGGCGACGACCGGCCACAACAACGGAACGCAAGAAATGCTGTTCACTTTCGTGGACCGTCTGCCCCTCGGTAACTTATACTTTTCTTCAAAAAATGTGGACACGCTAGGGGTTCTTACGGTAAGGGTTTCGGGCCGGTGTCTGATCGAGGTGTCGCACGGTCGGGTCCGGCTATTTCGTCGCAGGCTCGGAAATCTGGTTGGCCGCGCGGCCGCGGCGGGTGCTCGTCGCGACTGCGCTCTCGTTGTGGCACCGCGCGCATTTTCGGACATGGTGGTCACTTTTCGTGGCAGGCGCAAGGGATCGGAGCGGTTTTACTTCGACGTGCAGATTTCGTGGCAGGCGCAGCACTTTGGATCTGGTGGCGATCTTTGACGCGCTCTATCTTCACGACAGGTCCCAAGCCACTGAAGAAGCTGCAGAAAGAGAATATGAAGCTGAGGAGAAGCCAAAGAAGACCATCAACAAGAGCCTGCGGCGAAAGTTGGGACATCATGTCCATGAGATTGGTGAGACATTTCATCAGGAGAAGGAAAGCCAGAAGAAGCCTCAGGGGGTCATGCCCGTCCCACGCGGACAAGATGAAGTCTTCACTTGGACCTGTGCCATCTCCTTGGTGGCCGCAGCTCGCCATTGGAACATTCATGAGCCAGTGACCTACATTGGAACCTGCTTGAGGAGACAGACTACAATGAGGCATTGGCATACCTAGAGCGGGTTGATCCCGATCTACTGGTGCTGGCATGGCCCTGCGGTCCATGGAGTCCCTTGCAGACACGGGGAACAAGACGCCCCTACAAAGAGTGAAGCTGGCACAGAAGAGAGAAGAAAACAGAACCCTTTTGAGGTTCGTGAGGGACGCAAGTTTGGCACAGCGAAGAAGAGGTGGGGCCCTCTTGGGTGAAAATCCCAAGCCTTCATTGGCATGGAAAGAGCCGCTGATAGAAGAAGCGTTCAATGGCATGCCATTCACGATTTGTGAGGGGCCAAGATCAACGGCAAGTGGACACCAGTCTCAGCCTTTGCCGGTGGCTATACCACCAAGTTTGCCAAGGAGGTGGTTCAAGGGGCAGAACAGTTCCTGAAGGGGCAGAAAAGAAAGCGTGACGTGATGGCTGAAGGAGGTTGTGTCCCAGAACAAGGCTTCATGGAAGAAGAAGAACATGAAGATCAGAAGGAAGAAGAACAAGAAGGCCATGGGAGAAGTGAAGAAAGAAAGTTTGAAGTGGAAGATTGCAAAGGCGCATGAAAGACTGGGACATCCCACCAAAGACACTCTGGTGAGGATGCTGAAGTTGGCAGGCGCAAGCAAAGAGATGCTCAAGGGAGCCGAGGACTATCAATGTCCAACCTGCCGTGCAGTGAGTGCACCTGGAAGAAATTCAAAGGTGAATCCCTTCAGGAAGAAATCCAAAGGTGAATCCCTTCACTCGCACCTCTGTTTTTGGGAAGGAAGTTCATTTGGACCTCAAGCACATGCACGATCACAGCAACAAACTCCACTTGGCTCTCAGCATGGTTGATGGTGGCACCTCGTTTCATGCTGCCTGTGTTCTTCAGACTCGCAAGGCAGATTATGTAGCCAGCAAGTTTCTTCACCACTGGCGCTCCATCTACGGCACACCAGAAACCGGACCAAGGAGGGGAGTTTGGCGGTGTCTTCATTGGCTGGCTGGAGATGCACGGAGTGCGTTCAAGACGCATTGGAGCCGGGGCTGGATGGCAACATGGCTTCTCTGAACGACATGGGGGGCTGTTGGGGCATGCATGGCATGCTTTGATATGGCAATATCAGGCCAAAGGAAAAGAAGAGATGCCGATGCCATTCAAGGAAAGAATCAAACCATCACGCGGGGAGGCTTCACCCCGTACCAGATCGTCTTTTCCTGACCTTTTGGAGGAGGACAGCACTGGCAACTTGGCTCTACAAGAGTCACTCAGCACAGAAGGCGAAGTGCAAAGAAGTGCGGAAATGCGGGCGGCAGCAAAGCTTGCGTTGATGAGGCAGGATTGCCAGGACAAGTTGAAAACAGCTCTCCGTAGATGGCCTCCTGGCAACATCAAGTTTATATTTGGAGAGATGGTGTTCTTCTACGCCCCAAAGGCAACCGCCAAGAGATTTCGAAGAGAAGGGGGAGCTTGGCGAGGCCCAGCCGTCGTTCTCATGAAGGAGAGTGGTGAGCGCTATTACATTAGTTGGAGGGGTAGATGCTTGTTGGTGGCCGCTCCAAACCTTCGAATGTGCTCAGAACTTGAAGGAGGCGACTTCAAAGGATGGCTGGCAGAGCTAGATCACTTTGAGAAGAAGTGGGATGGCGACGAGGAGTTCGAAGACATGACACAGGTTGAAGTACCTCCAGAAGAAGGAGACAAAATAGAGATCGGATGGGTCCCTCAAGAAGAAGTGATCGTCCAGAAGCCAGGAAGATGGAAGAAGCAGAAAGCTAAGGAGATTGCAAAGAGCTTAGAAGGATAAGAAAGAGAAGATGAAGTTGAATTTGGGTGAAGCCATCAATGTTGCCCGTAAAAGAAAGAAGGAGAAAGAGGAAGAGAAAGAAGAAGAAGAAGAAGCTCCGGCCGTACAAGAGCCATCTGAGAAGTCGCAAGAAGAAGAGGAAGACAAGATGCAGGAAATCAACAAACACCTTTTGAAGGAAGCCTTGAAGCAGCTGGGACCCCAAGAAGAAGAGGGGTACAAAAAGAGACTTCGTGATTTCCTGCAAGACGATTTTCCTATAGGTCTGAAGCATAGAAGAAAAGAAGATGGACCGCAAGCCGGATTGACAGAAGAAGAACTTCACCAGCGGTTCACACCAGAGATGATGCACTATAGTATGCTGAGCTTGGTGGCACAGACCTCAAGGTCAAATGAATGGGCTTCCCAAGAGGAAGTCAGGAAGATGGGAGATGGATCTTCCCATCACCAGCATGCGCTACCACATGGCACCAACAAAGCGATTTCAGAAGCCACCAAAGACGGACAAAGGAAGAAGCACTCGGCTGTTTGGGAGAAGAGTGGAACAACAATGGTGTGTCAAGAGAGTAGTGAAGAGGTCCAGATGAGACCAAAGAGAAAGTCACCTCATGCTTGGACAGGAGTCACCTTCTTCGCGAGAGAAAAGAAACCAGAGCCAAAGGAAGGAAAGGTGCTAGTTGAGCTGCCACATATGAAGTCACGGTGGAAGACTTTGAAGAGTGGCAACGGCTGAGAAGAACGGAGGGGGATGACCAGGTGTATGGCTTCCTGCTGATCAACAAGGCCAATGGAAAGGAACTTGACCGGCGTCATTTCAGCAGTGAAGAAAGAAAGGTTTTCGATGAGAGTGATGCCAAAGAATGGACGTCATGGATCGACAACAAGGTGGTCCGAAGGCTGAATGATGAAGAAATTAAGGCCTTGGACTACAAGGATGTGTTTCGTGCGCCAGCCCGGATGATCAGGGTAAACAAGGCAGCCCTGCATGGAGGATTCCAACCCAAATCAAGGTTCTTAGATCCACACCCAGGATCTTTCAGGTCAGATGCATCACGACAACTTGGGCAGCAGTACAGATGACTAAGTATTGTGTCTACACGTGGACGATGGCCTCCTGGTTACTTCAAAAGAAAGAAATCCAACAAAGCATCAGCTCCAAGACATGAGCAAGAAGGCAATCACCTTTTTGGGAGTGAACACCAGCCTGCAAGGGTCCAGCTTTGTGGACGACATGACAGAGTATGTGGAGAAAATCCAGCCGGCAGAAGTCAAGACAGAAAAGGAGAAGAGTCTCGAAGGAGATCAACTGTCGGCATACCGCCGTCTGGTGATGCAGTGGAGGTGGCCGGCCCATTTGGTGACGCGTGAGTTTTTGTGTCGTGTCAGCACCCTTGCTCAAGGAGTCTCCAAAGCGCGAGGCAAAGATCTGGTCACAGCCAACCAGCTTCTCGCCCTGATGAAGAAGGCTGCAGCTGAAGGTGGAGCAAATCCCAGGAGAGCCTGTACTGATCTCATACTCCGATGCATCGCTTGGCAAATCGGAGTCACTGAGTGCACAACAATCTTAAATTCCACTTCAACACTGGGAAGGGAGTGGAACAGGCACCGACTAAGGCCAGTGTCTTGCAGTTCCACAACAGTAAAGTCCATAGAGTGGTGCGCTCCTCCCCTGCAGCAGAGTCATGCTCTATGACTTCAGCAGCCGACCGCATTCTGTACAACAGGGCCTTGTTCGACGCCATGTACCATGGGTGTACTGAGACCACACCCCAATGGCGCCGAGAGCTGAAGACCGGTGGTGTGATCATCACCGATGCCAAGGGCTTGAATGACCATGTCAATAAGACAGGAAGCATGGCCAGTGAAAAGCAGACAGCCCTTGACATGCTCATGGTCAAGAGGCTGGTGGAGGATGGCATCCTTCAACTCCGATGGGTTCCGACCTGGAAGCAGGTCGCCGACCCGCTCACCAAAGAGATGGGCACCGAGCTTTTGCAGCAATTTCGCCATAGTGGCAAGCTGTGCTTGGTGGAAACCCAAGATGACAAAGCAGAAGAAGAAAGGCGAGCGGGGATCAGAAGAGCCCAGAGAGAGCGCAGGAAGCAACGCATGGCAACAGCTGCAACAACAAGACAACAGCTTCTTTCTCCAATGTGTGCTTGTGTGCTTGAGCTTTCCTCGTTGATTGCATGTGTTTGCCGCCCGATGCTACTTTACACAGACAACGATGTTCGCAACGCAAAAGAGCGCTTGGCTTGCTTTTTCGCTTTTTGCAGTGACAGCATTCACTTGTTTTCGCTTGTGCTTGGTGTTTGGGGGATTGCACATCTTCTAGTTTTGTCGAGGGAGTGGCGCCCCTCTCACACTCACAACTCTTTCACCCCTCACCCGTCCCTTCCCTTCTTTTTGATGCAGTTTGACTTTCTTTTTGCTGCCATCTCTCTCTCTCTCTTGTATGCACACGCTTACAAAAAAGACTCAGTCTTGCAGTCAAGCGGCGCACAAGAGACCGATCGCCAGGAGTGCGCTCTACCTTGACGTCTTTGTTTCTTGCACAAGCGAATTGTTCTGCTGTCCGAGCTTGACACCATCAATTGGGCTGCCCTCTTACCATCATTCGTTGTTAGAGCCTGGGTTTGGCAAATGCTGCTTGCAAACTCACGCACACTCCGCTGTCCAGCGGCATAAAAAACATCAACGAAGTTGCGCCGGTCCTGCAAAGCATTTGAGGCACAGCGACTTGTAGAGGAGCTCAACATTTTGCAAACATTTCGGCCTTTGGAGACATCTGCACAGCAAGACCAGCATCAAATATGACCTTGAAATTGCACTGCAACATGGCAAACAGCGTTCCTTTGGCTATTTTCATTCTACAGTATCTACAAGCTTATTCTGGAAGGTATGCAAGCCTTGAAGAACATTTACACATTTACACCACTTTCACTCCACTCACCCTTTGGGACACCCTTTGCAGCAAGTGCTGGATGCAAACTTGAACTGAAGCTTTGTTGTAATGATTTTTGAGCAGGCAAGGTTCTCTCCTTTCCCCAGTTCTTTTCTGATCTTTTCTGCACAAATCAATGGTCTCGTCGGGAGTGCGAGTGACTGTGACAGTACAGTGCGGTACACCGAGCTCCACACCAATTCTGATTGCACTGGACCTGTGTCCTTGACACGGCACGGCTTGGGCCAACAGGGCTTCGTTGTTGAGCACAAAACCGTGGCCCTGACTCCACCAACTCGCCGTCGGTGAAAGTGGATGTTTCCAGGATGAAGATCCTGGCATCGCGCACAGCTTTACCCTCTTTCGAGATCTTTCAGGAAGGTGTGCGTCAACGGAAGAGTCTGCCAGTACGACCGCGTGGATGAAGTTGTCTGCAAAAAGCATCTTCAGAAACCTGCAAAAATCAAACTGGTCCACATCTGAGTGAGCCTGTTGATTATTGAACCCAACTCCCAACACGTAGCCCATCACAAGTCAAGCAAATAGCCAATTCTGCTGAGACACGCATCCATGCAGAGTCCTCCAACCTGCTTGTGGTCAAATTTGCCAACCAATAGACTGACAGAAAGTCCACTCCCCAGGCCTCTTCCCTAAGCTCTTCGACTGGAGTTGGCGGTGGGGCTGCTTTGCCTAGCGAAATACCGTCTGGCTCCAGTGTGAAGACTTGAACATTCTCAGGGCCATGCAGTCCCGGCTAGCACGAGCATCCTTGCAAATGGAATCAAACAACACTAAACTTCATGGGAAGTCTCACAGGCCTTCCCAAGAACGGCTTGCAACGGCACGCCGTCCTCCAATGACTCCACCTCAGTGTTGAATGCCAAAGTGTTGCAAATTCCCAACTAAAGGGACTAAGAGGCGGGCCAGCAAATCCTTGGTCACGTATGGTCGGAGCACCTTGCATGGAGACGCCGTTGTAGTAGCTTAGCGGCAGGGCATTGGATGTAAAGTTCGGGGGTGCATTCAAGGTTGTTGGGCTTGGCGTGAGCTATTTTTAATAGATAGAAGTTAACTTAATTTAATTCTAATAGCTTATTGTTACTACTAGTAAGGCACTTGTTACTACTAGCGAGGCACTTGTTACTAGTAGTAACACGAAGCTAGAAGGGGGATTCCGAGGTCCACTCTCCAATCACCAGTGGATCATAGCCTTTACACGATTTCTTTACTTGCTGTAGCGTCCAACAATTGCAAAGACTATGGCCCTTTGCTCATATACCATTTAGCAACTGTTTTGATTTCTTCAAAAAAGACATGACACCATAAGCGAGCGTTTCTTCGCTCACTTTATCTTATTCTTTCGGGTATCACAGCTCCCTGCCTACTTCCTTTTCCATCCTTTTTCTGGCAGCAACCAAGAAAACGAAACCAACTCGCACGTGAGAGCACCTCCGGGAAAATGACCCGAAGTCCCTTTCCAGTGCGGCGATATGGAAAGTTGTTGTTGAACATATCCAGGTTGTCTGCCTTGTTTCAATTTTGAACGGAATAATATGAGCGCAGAAGCATGCACAAATGCCATATGAGCGCAGAAGCATGCACAAATGCCCAAACTGCGCAAAGCGTATGGCTCTCTGATGGCACGCTGTATGGATCAATCCTGGCTCTACATCAATTCACCGCCCTGGATGCATCTCTCGCCTCAATCCGAAGGTCAGCCTCATGCTGCACAAAGGAACTAAAAAGGCCAAGTTAGGTGTGACATAGTGATAGAACTTGTATGGAACAAACAACGTATATATCTCCTCTTGAGCTAGAGATGCATGCAATCCCCAATGTCCCAGCCTGTGGTCGCACGAAGCTTTCAAAATGCATGACAGCTTCTGACCTAAGAACTCCGCTGGCTCATCTGCAAGGTTGCATGTTTTGCAGGTCTGAGCGTGCTGCATGGACAAGAAACGTGACGGAGGCCACAAGGCCTCAGGGGGATGGACATGACCTCTACGACTCTACCTACATCGCAAGGGAACTTCTCAAGTCAACACTACTCAAGCTGTGTGTCTTTACGATCCCAACCTCCACAAGGCTGACAATCATCCACATAACCTGGCAAAGAGTTAGACAATCTATGTGCTAGATCAGTTGCTCTAATTATTTTGTTGCCATGGTGAAAACACAACTCTTCCAAGTTGCAGGCGGCTACAAGACAAGTGTATAGTTGCTTGTAGTTGCTTTTCACATTTTGTTCCACTTCTGGAGATAGTGGTTTTCAGCGCCCTGTCCGACTCAATCCGTCCAGGCAGGTGCGGGCACGGGGCTGCGCGGGGCTGCTGGGTACCCTTCAGGTGACCCAAAAGCCGAACCAACTTCCGGTTGATCGGAGTCGGGTTGCCATTGACAAAGTCCACATCGAACCAAAGAATTATCATCTACTGCTGTATTTTTTCAATTTGCTTTGCATTTGTTGACTGCTATCATATACTGTCACCGCTTTGCAACACAAGCAGTTGCTGCAAACATTCTGGGTAGGCGGAACCGAACGATGTCGGTACAAAACATACGCACCGTACAAAAAGTCCAGAATTTGTGATGTGAACTGTGCACTGATGACTTCCAAACAGGTTCCGCATGTATATGCGGAAGAAAATCAAAGCGGGCCATGTAATGAGCAACTTCACTCTCGACACATTGCCATGAACTCCTTGAAGTCAATCTCTGCATCACCGTTCAAGTCCAAATCTTTCAATGTTTGCACCTGATCGTTCGAAGTCACAGTGTAAGAACCATTCGAGCTTGCCCAAGTTTTTGATGTTTGCAACATCTTGCAACTGCCCACGCTAACATCAAGACTCAGTGCCAAGCCAACTCGGTCGCTTGAAGGTGGCCTAGCAAACGGCCTGCGGCTGGAGATGTGCATCGCACAGCAAAGCAGGGCGGAGACCCAAAACTTCAAGCATCAACTGTCCAAATTGTTTCTTGTTTTCCTAAACGAGATGCTCTTTCAAATGAAATCTATGTCATAATAATAGTAATAATAATGTATAATAATTTGTTTGAAGCAGGTCATCCTTAATTATAAAATTCAAAAAATTTGCAAACAATCCTTAATTATATGTTGCGCAACCAAAATCAGGGTTATGGAGGCATGATAATAGTCAGGATCCATTTTTATACTGACAATTCAGCTCAAAAAGAATCAGCAGAACGAAAGCAAATAAGAGCAAAATGAAAGCAACCGTACATAATGAACTCCAGAGGTGATTGGTGCGGCTACCGCAAAAACCTCCCCCCGCAATTGTGTTACGAATCTCACAGGAATACACATACAGTATCTTTACAGAACCCTTGGCAAAGGGCGGCCAGAGATCTGACCTTTTTGGGTTTTTGTTCTGACCTTGGTGGAAAACACCATGCGCATTTCTCGTCAATCCCAGCATGCCTTCTGCAAGCTCACCTTGGACAAGTGTAATGTTCAAAACAGGCTGTGCTGAGATCAAGCTAGCAAGGCCATGCCACCGAGTTGCTCAATTGGATGCTTCCATCCATATTTTTGTCAAAGCCTGGTAATGAGACAAAATCTGCAAGCATCTCACAAGCCGCACGGCCACATGAACTTGCAGCCAGGCAGCTGTTGAAAATCACGCGGCCAACCTTCTCAGTGAGGCATTTCTTGCGATTGAAAGTTGCTGCGACAAATTCTGTGAACGAGAAGTCCTCCGGGTCTCTGAATTGACGTGTGAAAACCATTGAACACCGTGACAACTGTCTGACAACTTGAGCCACATGAATTCGACCTGTCTTGGCCCCACAGGAAAGCAGTCCTGGATGGCATCCTGCACGCCATCTGCTTGGAATATCTTCAAGGCGTCTTTCTTTTTCAAGGACTGACAAGTCAGCATACAAGGATAATGGAACGATATCGATGCATCAAACAATGTTCAGTAGTAGGCTCAAACCCTCCGTTCAAGTTTAACCAACCAACCACAGTAGTTTGTTCTGCAAATTGTACTTTGCATCAATGCGAAATAGCGCGGTCTGCCTTCGTGCCTTTGCCTGCAGTGGCTGCTGCCTGATCGAGTAGGGCAAATGACAAACACTTCCAAACTTCCTCGCATTCAACCCGGAAACACATCTGCCTTTTTAGGTGTTTGTCTGTGGAATAATTAGTTTGGAAGTCTGCCACCCCATCGCTAGAAAAAAGACGCGCTATCGGGAATTGCACGCCCTTCGTAACATATGTCTGAGGTATTGCTTTTCATTGCGTATCAGGGCGTTTTAACCAAACTTGCCATAATCGCTTTCGTTGGGTTGCTCAAAGGCGAATGCCTTAGAAAATCTTTTTTGGAGGGTTAAGGGCAATATCTCAAAAGGAGGGCGCTTCACCACCTGCTTCGGAAAACATGTCGTTCTGAGTTGCCTAGAGTTGGTTGGGAGGGGGTTCCATGCACATAGCGCAGTTTCGTGAAACCAAAAATTGGTGCAATAGAACAATAGCACTGCAAGGTGGCAGGGATTCCATTCTTGAACCATGTACCATTGTGGCTCCAGGGAACCTCGATTAGCTTGCTCGCCCAACCCACCCTGCACCGATGTCGTTGGTGGAGGAAGTTGGGCAGGTGGGACCGGTCATTGTTGAATAGGTCTTTGAGGTTATTTGTGGTCTTGGTTGGGGACGCATTTTTGGTCCGCACTGCACTTTCTTCCTCCCCTCTCAAAGGATGGCACTTCACCACCTGCTTCTTTGAAAACACATCATTTGGAGTCGTCTAGGGGTTGGGAGGTGGTTCCATGCACATAGCGCAGTTTCAGTAATAAAAAAACAACGTGTGAAAACGCAAACTTTTGGCCAAAGAATAGGAAGGAAACAAAGATTGCAGAAAAAAACAGGAAGAGGCTAACTTACTTAGCAGGAAACGCTGGGTAAGAAGAACAGACACCAACTGGCATCGGGAACCAGCTGCATAGTCATAAAGGGTATTGGAACTGACTAGACGGGGAACGAGTTCAGGTTTGCCAGATTTTGATAAGATGCAATTCCTTTCCTGGGGGCTTGGAACCACAAACTCCTGCACGTGGGACAAATCAACTTGGCAGAGGCATCGGAAAAATAAGATTGAAGAAGAGGGGTCAAGTCATACTATCTCCTCCTCAAACTTTTTTTGCGCAAAACACTTGTGACATTGCACAATGGTCGGGCTTATCTCATCCCTTTCAAAATTTGATGTACACACTAGTTTCACCAGCATGATGGACAAGCAGCCGCGAAACCAGTTGACAGTACAGCAACTCTTTGTTCTCGGCTGATTTTCAGCAAATTGTCCTTTCGGATCTTCTCCTTTTCGAGCAGCAAAGCTCCTACTGCCCTCTCTTTCATTTGTTCATGATCCTCATCCATGCCCACAAAATTGAAGTCGGCCCGCGACGTCGTCCAGCTCATGGATCAGCGCCCTTGTGCACGTCGGCAATTGAATCGCCCGGGCTTTTATGTCTTTTAGCGCGCCTTCCAAGATCGCCTTTCAAAGGAGACGTGGCCTTTGTTGCGCCTTCTTTGTCTTGTTTCCTTCAAGCTGTTGACGTTGACACCGTCCATCGCAAGTGCACAAAACTTCTCTTTCATCTCAGCCTGTCGGCTGTGATCAAGTGTAGTATCTGTTCTTATCAGTGTGACACAACTGATATGTCTCCAACGGGAGACTTGCTTGTCACATCAACTTGTCTGGGAAGTGTCGGGGGCCTTCGCGTGTTGTGCTGGCGCGGCACTGAGCCAGTGGCAGCACACCCGATGCTGCGCGTGTCCCACAAAAAGAGGTCATTGAAGCAGCCAAACGCTTCAGACGCCAGAGCCACGATGAAGTCAAGACTGATGAGCGACCAAGGACTGTATGTCCTATCAGTCCCCACCAAACCAAATTTGAGCTGGCTGCTGACGTCTTTGCCTTGGTGGCCAGCGCGCCCTGCAAGGATCTCGGGCATAGAAGGCCGCGCATCAACTGCGCACTCCGAGCCTTCGCCCAACATGCTCACCAGGATGGAGTGAATAACGTCGTCCTCGTTGACCGCATACACACTTGAATGGCTCTGCACACTCGTAGTACTTCTGGAGCTGAGTGAGGCAAACCTCTTCAAGAGTGATGAGGAGATCAAAGAAAGGCTCTCCGATGGACCGGTGGACTTCAGAAAGTCACGATCATGGCGACAGGCTTCACAATGAAGCGCTGTATTTTTCGGCATCGTCTTCGCCTCTTACATGTTCCTCCAAGCCATTGAAGAGTTCATCAAATGGCTGAATCAACCTCCAGGAGAAGATGCCTGAAGCGGAGGCTCAACAGAGCACGCGGAAAGAGAGTTCCCGTTGCGAAAAAATCGGACGCAGCACGATGCCGTCGCAATGAGCTTGAATTTGGATCCACCGGCCAAGATCACCGCTGACTACGATGTGTTTTGGGCCACGGATAGGTCAGGCCATCGTGTTAATAGCCGTCTCGAATCCGGCGTTCGGTTTAGATTCTTGTACCTGTTGGTGGTTGAAACAACCGCCCAAGTGAGCCAAAGCAGCGCGACGCGTGCTCTTTGTTCCGCGTGCGATCTATCTTGAGCCGCGGTCCGTTAAATTTGACACAGCTATGACCGATTCTCCATGGACCATCGAACTTCCGTTTCACAACTGATTTTGAAACACAATTCAGTAAAGGCAGGAGTAGCTAGTATGGCGCAGCAGGTGAATCTAAAAAGTTATAATTGGGCGAGTGAAGTATTAGGTCCTGTTTGCATTCCCATGACAAACCGGTTCACAAGAGACTCGACTGAACCCAAAACCAAAAACCAAACGCAACAACTATGAGTTATATATGGATGTGTTCCACAGTAGGCAACCC